AGCTGGTCCCACATCTCTGCACCGCACAGAAGGCCGGTCGGAGCTCCTGCGCTCGCCGTGTTCAATGCACCGCTACTGTAATCCGGATGTCACCCAGACGGTGCAAAGCAGAATCCAACTTGTATCGGCACGGTTCCATATCGGCGATGATCGACAATTACCATTGTATTTGGTTGTCTATATCATTGTTTTTTAGCTGTCATATCGCGTTTCCGTTTCCGTTTTTCCTGAGCATACCCCTCATGGCCGCATTCCACGGCAGCCATAAAAAGTCTGGTGGCTGATTCGCGACCTTATGAAAGGCTCTGGCTGCACCATTCCGAGAAATGGAGATACAACTGCAAGGATGAATCAAAGTATGGACGAGGGAGTGGCATGACCATGGAGATGGTTTGGACTTAGCCTATCCACGTTTCTTGAAATTTCAACACCGTCCTCCGATCAACCTTGACTTGGAGGGGCTCAAGCTGAGCCCCTCCGCTCACGCATGCCCTTCCTTCACAAAACAGGTTGACAGATTGACAGATTGACTAGATCGACACTTTTGTAGACGTTTCCACACGTCTGGATGCTGCGACTTCACCGCCGACTAGCTGGAGACTGGTGGCGACTGCGCTACGGGCTGCGCGGTGACAGCACCGCGGCTGCACGGAGACTGCACCGCGGCTGCACGGAGACTGCACCGCATACTGCACAGTGACTGCGCCGCAAGTTCACGAAGACTGTAACGCCGTGGAGTACGCGGAGTGCGCCGCGGAGTGCACGGTGACTGCACCGCGTAGTCCACGGTGACTGCAACGTGGCATGTGCCGCGGACAGGACAATGACAGCACTGCGTACTCCACGGAGACTGCACCGCGTACTCCAGACTGACTGCACGGCGTGCTCCAGAGTGACTGCACTGCGTACTCCAGAGTGGCTGTACCGCGAACTGCATGGAGACTGCAGCGCGGACTGCACCGCGGACAGCACGGCAACGTCCCGGTGCCTCAGCAACTGAGGCGCGTCTGGATTCCACGGGCGCCAATCGACGCCAACCGACGCCAGCCGGGCGCGCTCATCCGCGGGTCACGGGCGGTGAAAGGCCGCGCGCCAGTGTCGTCGCGAATGTCACCTCCCCGTTGCCCCCCTCCCCCCCCCCCCGCTCCTCCTGTCGCCCGTCTCCCCGCGATCCGCCGTGGTTCGGTTCCGCTGGCGGCGGGGGTGGGTGGCGTAACCCCAGCCGCTCGGGCCGGCGGTCGGCGCCGCCAGTGGGCGCGGTTCAATGGGGCGCGACTAGATCCTCCAGACCCTTAAGAGACCCTCAGAGGACCCGCCAGGGGTTCTCCAGGGGTACTTCAGGGACCCTCCAGGGGCTATCCAGGAGCCAACGGCTGCGGAGCTTCCGGCTACCGGCTTCTCCCTGGCACCGGAGAGTTCAGCGCGGGCGAGGCTGGTCTGAAGAGAATGGTGGCCGACGGCGGGCGAGGGGCAAAAACCACCTCTGCCCAGCAGCTCGTCGCAATGGTTTCCGTGCTCTCAGGACGTTGTCCATCGGCGACCCCAGAGGCGTACTCTCCACCTGCCACGTTAGCCCGTGGCTCGTGAGGTCACTCTACAGGATCACAGGTCACGTTGTAAGCCTGCGGACCGGTGAACACCATCTCAACCATGGGCGGGCCGACCGACTGACTTTCTTGTCCCACCGATCAGGTCGCGGGTGACTCACAGGGCATGGCGTTCTGGGATCGCGACAAAGAACGCCCGTTCCCAGCCGTCTGCGGTTATGCGGTGGGACGTCTCGAAGCAGACGGAAAGCGGGCGAGGTTGCCGACAGGTTTGACGACGTTGTCGTCAGGCGGCTCGTGTTTTTCTCTGGGCGGCTTTGACGCCGCTGCAGTTCTGTGGTCTGCGGTCTCCAAACAGGTGGTATGTGGTGGTGCTAGGGAGAGAGCTCGGGCTCGTACCGGCTTACCCGTTGCGGCGAGCGGTGGGTGGGTGCGAATAGCAACCTTTCTCATGGGTGGAGCGATGGGTCTGTGCGGAGCAAAAGCTCACGCCTCAGCCGCCTGTGCTTCAGAGCTGGAACGTGGGGCTTATCGGTGTGGTGTAGACAGAACTGACCTCCAGTCGTAGCCCATAGACTATCGCTAAATACGGATGATCTTTGGCGAGATCTGGATGAGGTCTGGGCCATTTCCGGCGGGAACCCGCCGATTCCCGCGGAAAATCCAACTGCAAATGTGTTTTCTCGACGAGCGGTGCTGGGAGATATTCCATCGGAAACACATGCAAAACGTGTGAGACTTCGGATTAACACGCGCTCGGGTTGGGGGGATCAAATTGACCCCCGAAGGTTTTTCCGGAATGGTTTCCGAACGGCGACAAATTTTGCATAGCTGCAGGCAGTTGAAAAGCGGATCGTCTGACATCAAAAATTTAGATGTACCTGACCAGGTCGCTGACCTATGGCAGACCAAAGTCAGACCATGGTTTCAGCGAAGTCAATTTTTAGGGAAACCTTCAATCTGATGCTACAGCGGAGTGTCAAACAAAGCCATACATCTCTGAGATGTTTTCTTAGGCAACACAACAGTTGAATGAGCACATTACATTGACCTAAGGTCAGGTCTGAAAATCAGGCCAGGGTCAAAACCAACCTGTTTTATTACTCCATGGTTTGCTGTATGGGGTAATTTCTGGTGCTCCTTCCGAATTTATTGATAGCAGGAACCGCCATATACATCTTCCGTGGACTTTTTTGAGGTCAGAACAGGTCATTGACCTGAAATGATTCAGGTTAAGATTTTGTTTTTAAGAATACACTGTCTAGCGCAATCTTTGCCGCTTATTTGGATGCAAAACTCAGAACGGTCTTGTATGATTTGATATCCATGACCTTCGACAGGTCAATCAAGGTCACTGGCCTTAAATGAGTATGCTACATTTTGCTTAGAAACGGTTATCTAGGTCCTGGGGGCACTTTGGAGACCAACCTGGAATTTGACCTTGTTTGACCCAGTTTGACCCGAATATCATAACCTAGGAACCTGAAACTTTGATATAAGTGGGTTCACGTACAGGTCAACACCTCCTGTGAATTTTGTGTCTCTAGCTCTCTTAGTTCCTGAAATCTCAGTCGGGGTCAAATTGACCCCCACCCGAGCGAGAAGTATCCAGCCGGCTATCCGGGCACGTGTTAAGATGGGGCTCCCTCTGGATGAGGCTCCCTCTGGCCCTGCTGACTATTGCCAGAGAAGGAATGAGCGTGCGTCAGTTGATGTGGGAGGAGGAGCGTTGGCACTTTTGAAACTTCCGTTTTGAAGCAATTTAAATTGCGCATAGGCTCACTGAGGACTGCTGTTAGCTCATAAACGTCATGTTTATTTGTAGATGACAGCGTTTCCATGCTCCAGTGCCGCCATGCGTACTTCACAACCAAGACAAGTCAGCTTTACCTTAAGCTGGATTTTAGCTGAATGCTGTACCTATGCTTTGTATTTGTATTTGGCTTTGTATTTGGCTTTGTATTTGGCAAGGAGCAGATCACAGGAACCCGTCCGATTGACACGTTCATAGCATTGGGAGTATTATGATGAAATTGTGTCCCCCTATTTACCGCCTATTACATGGTGGATGGTGCCGTGCAAATGTGATGCTTACTTGCTGTGTGCGTCAGGTTTTTTGTCTGGACATGCTCCCTGCATGTTTTTGCATCGATATATCCAGGAAGCGCAAGGTTTTTTATATATTTCTATTCCACACACCGCTTGTTTTAGCATAGGCTACAGTCTGACTGTGGCAGGCTTTACAGTTGAAAAAGCCAGGATGTTTTGTAACACTGGTATCCCGTCCATACCATCTGTTCTTCTTTAACAAAAATGCGGGAGGCCTCCCACATTCACAGCCTCCCCATTACCCGCATTTTTCCAAAATTGGGCGCTCAATCCGTGGATCGTTCCACTTTGGATAGAAACCCACCGGGTTACCAGGCCCATGAAAGCCTGTAGCGACAGCACACGTTTTGCTGCAAAAACGTAACACTGCAGTGGGTGTTGGCATTGCTTTTTTGGTGGCTCCTCTTCTTTACGTGGGGATATGCTGCATCCACGGGGCCTTTAGAATGATGATAAAATTCCATCTCAGATGTAGATGGTGAACTGTGCTCGCGTGCTTGCACCTGAGCGCACCGTGTTGGCGTGTTTCGTTCTGCTTCCCCGACTGCACCGTGCTGGCGTGTTTCCTTCTACTACCCCGGCTGCACCTTGCTGGCGTGCGCGCGTTACCTTCCTGGAGCCGCCCTCATCGCGCAGGAGATAAACGATGGATATGGTGATAAACGACTCGCATGCCAAAGCCCGCCAGGACGAGGATTGTCGCAACACGCCGAGTGTGGACCCGGTGACAAAGTGACGTAATCGCCTCGCATCGGCATGCAATGGCCTGCCATCGGTATGTAATCCTTAGCATAAGTATGCCGCCGTGCCCCCGCTGCGCGCTGCAACTGAGACACTCGCCGGCAGCGCGGCATAGACCCATCGGGGCGGGGGCTGCGGTGGCGTGTCGGGTTCGTTCGGAGCTGGGTCGCGTGAGGCGCCCGCGCGCGGCGCCCCTTGTGTTACGTCCGTGCCGGCTGATTGCCAGATTTCAGCTGATGTGAGGCAGCTCCACCCGCCGAACAAGGCCGCTTCAGACGAAGGTGCACGGCAGCTCTCATGCGCACGGGTGGGAGCACCACCGTCTGGCGTTACCCCGCAGACAAATCTGGACACATGCAAAGAGCACACGCTTCTTGGAGATAACAAGTGCAGGTCGAAATCTCTCCATGGAACGCGCCAAGAACGCCTGCTCTCTCAGTGCATGGATAACATTTGTCACTGTGCTGTGCAAGTGGCTGTTGGTTATTATGTTAATGTCTTTGACCTGAATACAGGATGTGTTGTGCCATATTGTAATATCTACCGTGCTAGCCAGGCATGGATGATGACCTCTAGTGACACGTTCCTCTTCTAACATTCCAGTGAGGTCATAGAGAAACTCCTGATCCGGTGGAAGTACGACCTGTCTACTGTGTTCTCAAGCGAGAACAGAGATACATTGACCAGCGGCTTAGCGTGAGTATATTGTTCCCAAGCATCAACAGGTACATGTCGGCTGGGGTGTACCATGAGTAGTTTTTGTGTAGTTCCGGTGAGGCAGGATTGCAATGTTTCCCGGTTAATGCGGTGCTTCCTTGCCATGCGACGACTGGCTGCGGTGCCACGTTTATCTGCAAAGCTTGACCAGAATGTCGATGAACAGCGCTTTGACCACTTCGGTGGTGGGGTTCGCTAATGCGCGGGCCTGCGTGAGCTTGGTGGACTTGGACTACAGCGTGATTTCGGTAGGCTGTTCCTCGACCGTCTCCTACTCAAGAGACCTGGGGGGGGGGGGGGAGCGATCGCCGTGTCGAGGAATTAACACCGCTTGCACTGCCGCCCACACCCGTTGGTTCACGGGCGCGGTCTGCTTTGAAACAGATCCATCAGTCTGGTGACTTTGGCGGCACGGATTCGCTCTGCGTCACCAGCTCCGGGTCACCAGCTCTGGGTCACCAGCTGCAGTTGGCCGCCTTTGGGGGCGTGGCGTACAGCAGGGGGCCTAGCTCGCGGGCCTCACCGCCGCGCGCGTAGAACAGTCGTCGGATGTAGAGCACGTCTCTGGTGTCAAAACACGCGCAATAGCGGCTGGAAACCTGGTTTACGTCAATAACCTTGGAATCAAGTGCCGTGCTTAAATTTGCTGTTACTTGGCTGTCAACTTTGCCTGATTTTGCCAGAAATTTTCCAAAAAAAAACGCCGCCTCAAAATGACAGAATCCATCACGATCTCGAAAAATGAATGCAATCCTGCAAGTGCAGTTATCCCATCACCATACGTGCTTGGCCGCAGCGAGCGTCGAAGGTTGCTTGACTATCTCATCATCATACGTGCTTGGTCGTAGGGAACACCGAAGGTCACTTGACTATCCCATCATCATACGTGCTTGGCCGCAGCGAACGCCAAAGGCCGTGTGACCACCCCATCATCATACGTGCTTGGTCGCAGGGAGCGCCAAAGGTCGCTTGACGATCCCGTGCTTGACTATCCCACAGCAAGCGCCGATGGCCACCTGGCGACTGTCGGCTACGCGATTAATTTTGGAGAGTGATTTTGGCATGAACCGTAAGCAAACCACAGCATTATGACAAACATATACATCCAATGTGTGGTCTTCTCCGCTGCCGGCTCAGGAAGCTTGAAAGGTTCGCGTGAGAAGGACGGTATTTCCCATGAGACTTGAACCGACTTGAGCCGTTGAACCGACTTGGTTCTCTCCTACATCTATGGCCGTCCCTGTGTCGTTTTATTACTGACGCCTCGCTGCGCGCTGATCACGAACGTATCCTTTGACATGGAGATTTCGAAATGTCTTGGGCATCACACCCACTTAAACCTTACTATTTTTCATCAGCTTTGCACGAAACACACGACAACACAAAGCATACCGTGGCCAGGGAATACATCCATTATCTACTGGCGGTACTAGTGTATTATGAACAGATTGGCACCAACACCGACATTCTGCCTTTATCCAGTGAGCTAAGAGGTGTGCGCGAATTTTGGTGATCGAATAAATGCAATATTTTCTTACAGGTGGCTGCAGCGCCACTAGTTGTGCTTATTGAAGTTCCCATTGAAGTTTTCTCACGGGCACTGCCGCCGTAGTCCTGAGGAAAGTTTCACCGTTTGCCGCCGCATTATGTGCCCCCCTCCCCTCCCCAGTGCCCCTCGGCTGGCGAAAACTAAAAAATACTTACCGTATACCGCATATGAAGCAATGTTGTGATTGGAACGCTTCTTACTCCATCGAAAAGTTTTGCCATGGTAAGAAATGTTCGCCGTTGATGAACTGCGTATGTTGCGAACGCCTGCACACAAACTGTACGTGAGGAGTGGACGCGGTTTGGCGAGGGTAGCACCCGATCACGACGTCCATAGTCCAGTATCCCGGTCCATAGATTTGCTGGGAAAAGGGCAATGGAAAAAAATGGCAATGTGCACGTATGCATGAAAAAGTGCAAAATTGGGGAAAATACATGAGTACAAAAACTATATATATATATATATATATATATATATATATATATATATATATATATATATATATATAATTGTTACTCGTTAGTGCATTCGCGTCATGCTAATCGGAGGACCTACAACGGTGAATATTGGCAGACCACCTTAACAGTGTCACCAATAGTGGATGCAGACTTGGTTCGGTGAACGCGATTCCCCATTCGCGACACGGCAACACGCGACCCACCGCGCACGACGGGCAGAGCCGGCTGCACGCGCGGGCAGTATCACCCACGAGCGGCGCCACCATAAAATGCTAAAGCTTGTATCTGCCGCGAGGTGGCGGTAGGTCGCATTCTTGCGTGATCTGGGGCGCGTTCGGCCGGCAGATAATCTCGGAAAATTATCCGGAATGGCGTTCGGTACTGCCGTCATGGAGAATTACCCCAGATGATTTTCCGTAGCGAGGGAGAATCGCGAAGAATTTTCAGAGCATGGTCAAGACAGAGAATCTGTTTCCGCTGTGCGTGGCTATGATCGTTGGCTGTGGATGGCGCATGGGAGACTAATCTGGGGAATAATTTCCGGACCGGCCTAATAAAGAGGGAGAATCTCCGCGGATGATTATCGGAGAGATAATTATTCGTTGAATAATTTTGCTTTGGCCGAGTGCGCCCCTGGTGTATGCGTGCCTGACGTTCTCACGCTTAGGCCTCCCTAGTGTACAATGCGACAAAACTTGACGAACGCACATAACTTAACTTACGATGACTTAACTTAGCAAGCGACAACAGGTCTTTAATAGCAAGCGGCATCCGAAAAACGCGCGTGAGCAAACATCAGTATCGTGGGCACGGGCAGGAAGACGGGGACACTGATATGCCTAGTGGGGGTGGACAACAAAATCGTGAATTGCGGCATGGCGGGCGGACTCAACGGAGGAGACGACTTGAGAACGTGACATTGAGTGTTTAGAGGGCGGGGGACGGGGTGATATTGGGATATGGGAGGTGACAGAATGGCAGAGCCCGATAATGTGCACGACGCCACCACCGTACCGCCTCCGGCCTCGCGAGATGACATCTTACTTTGAGCGGTGTACGATTTCATTACATACTGATCGTGTCAACCCCGCCATCAGTGTCTGCAATCATTTCGCTCCGTCCGATTTATATATTTACGCCGCTAGCAATAGTTGCATTATTTAAATGCTTTTATTTGGCGAATTGCCTTAAAATGTGTCGCATGTTTCTCCTGACAACAGGTCAGCTCTGCCTTCTTCCGCTTCCTCTCCCATCGCAGCGCTCGCATACATACTGAGCGCGTTAAGCGACCTGTCATGAGGTTACATTTGTGACAAGCGACATGCAAGCGATTAGGCCATTTCCACCGGGCTCCGATGTGCACACGCCTGCTGTAAACAAGCGCGTGCTACTATGGGCATCTGCCAGCAAACGAGTGTTCGAAGCTGCGTCACAAAGTTGTCGAATGTGTATACACCTTCGTTGTGTACAGTGTATGCATGCATATGCGCTTGCAGAATGGAACCAGAAAAGCCGTGATGATGGGGGCACTCCCTCCGAAATAATTCATCTGATTACATAGCATGCCCTAAGCTATCGAAACAATGCCTTAATTTGTTTAATCTTGGCAGAATGCAACTTTGATCTTCCCATAATACTTTCAGTTTAATGCGCTTAAAGTTTTAGTCTGTACCGGACGTCATACATTAATGCTCGATGGTCCAGGTAAAACGTCATGTAAAATGCCTCTGTGATCGGATCGGCTTACCTTTCGAGATGCAGTAATGGGGTCCAGCCGAGGATTTGAGTAGGGGTGTTTAACCGCGGACGTCTTCTTTCAGTCGAAATACTTCTCAACCATGGCCACGCAAGTCTGACGGTCACTCACGGCGCCACCACTCATACGGCAGAGGCTGGCCGTCCCGCCAACCAGCGTTCAGGCCCATTCAAGGCCACTACGGCCCACCAATCAGCTTCGAAGCCGCCGTGACGTCAGACGTCGGATCGACCAATCCCGGCTTCGTGGTGCAACCGGGCGTGTCCGGGGTCACGTATTCGGTGCCATCGACACGTCAACTGCCACCGCGACAGCAGCCGGGGTACAGCCGTCGTCCACTCGCTAATAACCCCGTTAACTGGGCGTGAGTAGTTGTAGGGCACGTGCAGTAACGACGTGGGCGATCGTGTCTTAAATGCTTCGTCTAAACTCGCCGTTAAACCGGGTCAGATTCTCGAATTTCTCCTGAGCAAGAGTCTGCGAAATGGTTATTTCCCTGGGGGAAAATCGCGCATACTTTTGCTTGTGGAGAGCATTTATGATTCTTGCTACAGCTAGAACTTGGGCTACGGTGTAGGGATGTACAGAGTTAATCATATGTTAGGAACGCTTTCTAGTCGTCGGTGATGGAGGTGATGGATGTATTTTGCGGCTAAGGCTTGCATGGAGTGTAAGACTGTGGTTGCGATGTGTTCGATTTCTTTTTGACCTCATCGTGTGATTTTACTCACAACCTGTGACAATCAGAATTACGTGCTGATGACTTGAGAAAAACCGTAATATTGTAAGATCTCGCGTTGCTGGCCATGTAGTCACATGACACGTGGTGCCCCAGCATTTGCGTATGATGGTATTTGATGGGATACGAATTACAATGCACTTGCATTAAACAGTTCACAGGATTGCAACGGATTTGACATCACACCGAGCTGACCGTCCTCAGTTCGGGCTAGCCCTACTTTGTGCCTATTTCCGGCGTCAGGCACGATGCTGTTTCTTCGAAGGTCAACGCGGGAAGCGGCAGCCTCTTAGAAAGTTTCTCATCCCTGGTTGAGAGCTGTGTCATGCTGCCTAGGATCGTACTCACGACCCACAGCGCCACAGCCAGCCGCGCTAACCACTCTGCCATCCAGCACTGACGTCGTGCACGCTCGTTGACAGATACAGCTTCGCGGTGCCGCGCCAGAAGCGCCAGGCCGACTCTGGCGGACAGCTGTGCCCCACTACAGGTATAAGGCCCTGTCGCACCACTCACCCTGGCTAGGGAACAAACCTGGGTGAACTTGGTGAAGTGTGTAGCCTTCTGAAGGTGATATGACCCCAACGTGTCGAAGAAACGACCACAAAATAAGTTGAAATAAGTGTACTTTTGGACAAATTTCATCTTGCTCCGTGACGTTCGTGAAGCGCGGCTTGTGAACACAAAGTCCAGTTCGGATGGAATACAGCGCATGGATGGGGTTACTACGCTCACCAGCGCATTTTACGCGGATAGATTGGTGTTTGCCTATCTCCCTTAGTGATATGCACTTGTTGGCCCAGCCTCGCTGTAGATGGGTTCATGCTGTTATTTCGGATGTCTCTGGCTTTTTGAAAGTTCAGTTGTTGGTGGATGTGTACGGTTTATATCTAAACGTGGCATAAGTTCCAGATGCCTAAACCATGCCTGAACGGCTGTTAGGAATATGTTGTTTTTATAAATAACTACCGTTTAGCTTTGGTACAACGTATCTGATTGGTAAACGGACCAGCTGGCAATGCAATCCAATCGTTGACTGGTTGTCATGCCAGTCCGAGCGCCTAACCGCCTTCTGATTGTTCTCTAGGCCAGTTCGTGTCGCCGCGGGCGGGCCTTAACAACCGTGGAGAGTGGAGATTCGTCGTCAACATGGGAGACCTGGATGACCAGTACACCCAGCTGGTTCGCTCTGAGCGATGCATGCAAGTATTCACTCTGACCGTGAGCCTGTGGGCGAGGTCGTTAAGGACCACGCGATCCACGGGGGGTCAAAAGTCGTGGAGATGTCTAGCTTTTTCGACGCGATTCTGTGCGACGCCACAGATGTAGAGCTTGTTCTCCCATCATCACATCACAACCGTGTTCTGACCTCGAACAACTACTGCATGGTCTCAGTTTTACCTCACGTTTGTGCGTGCTGTAGAAGACAGCGTGCCATGGACAGTGACTTGCGCGAGGCACTGTGCGCCTTCACATTACCATTACTCCTACCTTGTCCAAGAGTTTCTTCTAAACGTCACGAGAAACACGGCCACTTGACTCATCCTGGAAGCCTTTAAGACACGAAAGACACCGCATATGGCTACCACGCTCCCCAACTTGGTTTCATGTCCGTCTTCTGACCTTGCCGGGTCTTCGTGCGCCTTGATCGTGGTCTGCGTGGGGTGCAACACGCTACTTCCTCGTACCTCTCGCCCGCTATGTCTCTGTCGTCGGATATCGCGTTTGGCGATCTTTTCCTTATTCCTCACGATGATCCCCAAGATGATCCATGGTGTTATTCGCATTGCCAGCCCACTGTCCATGTGAAACGGTCACGTGACGCACAGTCACGTGACGCATGCAACGGCTTCCTTCATCTGTTCTCGTTGTAATCTCAGCTCCTCACTCGACTCATCTTTTTCGCAAGACTTGGACAGGTCACAGCTTCCGTCTTGTTCCGATGATGGTGTTTTGACGGGCTGCTTATTTGTAGGCCTGTTAGATTTGTAGGTTTGTAGGCTTGTTAGGTTTGCAAGTTTGTAGGCTTGTTAGGTTTGCAGGTTTGTAGGCGTGTCAGTTTTGTAGGTTTGTAGGCTTGTAAGGTTTGTAGGTTTGTAGGCTTGTCAGGTGTGTAGGTTTGAAGGTTTGTTAGGTTTGTAGGCTTAAAGGTTTGTTAGGTTTGTAGGCTTGTAGGCTTGTTAGGTTTGTAGGTTTGTAGGCTTGTCAGGTTTGTAGGCTTGAAGGCTTGTCAAGTTTGTAGGTTTGTAGGCTTGTTAGGTTTGTAGGTTTGTAGGCTTGTCAGGTTTGTAGGTTTGAAGGCTTGTCAGGTTTGTAGGTTTGAAGGTTTGTTGGGTTTGTAGGCTTGTAGGCTTGTTAGGTTTGTAGGCTTAGTCAGGTTTGTAGGTTTGAAGGTTTGTTAGGTTTGTAGGCTTGTAGGCTTGTCAGGTTTGCAGGTTTGAAGGTTTGTTAGGTTTGTAGGTTTGTAGGCTTGTAAGGTTTGTAGGTTTGTAGGCTTGTCAGGTTTGTAGGTTTGAAGGTTTGTTAGGTTTGTAGGCTTGTAGGCTTGTTAGGTTTGTAGGTTTGTAGGCTTGTCAGGTTTGTAGGTTTGAAGGTTTGTTAGGTTTGTAGGCTTGTAGGCTTGTTAGGTTTGTAGGTTTGTAGGCTTGTCAGGTTTGTAGGTTTGAAGGTTTGTTAGGTTTGTAGGCTTGTAGGCTTGTTAGGTTTGTAGGTTTGTAGGTTTGCTAAGTTTGAGCGTTTGTATGTTTGAGACATGCCATCGGGTGTGATGTCGTCGCAGTCATCTGAAATAGGAAATACGCCTTTTATGACGTCAGCCACACGGGTCCTGAAAACAACATGGAGTTCCAGAGTTGTGAATAACACGACGCCGACTACGCCATCGCTTTCTCTGTGCTCGTCTGACCTAAGGATCGTCTCACTCACAGATCAACTCAGTGCAGCGGCCTCTGCACCATCCCGGCAGGTATGACCGCCACCTGCCAGCAACAGTACGTCCAGAAGAAGATGGTCGGTCTTGACCCGAGCGGCTCTGAGGTGTACACCGATCTCTACTGGATACCGCACTGCTGCGTCTGCCAGATCCGATAGACGCGCAACGGTCTCCAGGTCCGGTAGAATCGAAGTGCGAGACTCGGGGCACTGTGGCGCGGTCCGCGCTCTGGCGAAGGTTCGACGGATAGCGATGAGCCCGGGGAATCCGGGAGCGGTGGAGCCGGTAGAGGCAAGTGTTAAGCATTTCTGTGTGAAGTGTGCCCGGTGGACTATCGGAATCGGTAGAGACAGCTGCGGCCGCTGTGTGTGGTGAACTCCCAGGATGGGTAGAGACGGCGGAAGCCAGTGTGGTGGATGAACCTTAGAACGAACCGAGACAGCATGGCCAGCAGATTCGGTGGCGTGCGTAAACACTCGATAGATGGCGATGCTGCCGTTGGCGACTGCTGTGCACGGACGAGACCAATGAATCCCCAGTGCTGATGGAGCCGACTGAGTAAACTACACTCCTCTACCACCCACCTCCCGAACACAGCAGTGAGCTGGATGAGCACATTTCGAGTGGTCCTGACCTCGCGGTTTCGGCTGACAAAATGGCGACGACCGTCTGCCTACGGTGGTGGGAGAGTCAGCGGCCCTTGGTCCTGAATCCCGGTGACCTATCATATCTAGTGCGTGTCGTGCGGGTGCTGAACGGCGGTGCACTCCTACTATGACGTCATTTGTCTTGTGATGTCACTCGGAGGCGGGGCGGTCGGTGTAGTAGCCGAACGAGATCGTCCAACCAGTCATTAGCCCAGTGGCAGCGGAGAACTGGAGACGGTGTTTAAGCGCCGTACATTGGACTGTTCTGTATTTCCAAGCAACTGCGCATGGGCTAGCTTTTATCACCTGTAACTGTTGTCCCATCACCGTTCCAAATGTCTTGTTTGTCCAACTCGTGCGCTCTTATCACGACTCGCAACTCGGATTAGTCGCGCTAGGCCAGTCCGCGTCTTGTGGGACGCCGGACGCGGTGGTTTAGAAAACCATTTTCGCACGTTTTCGTCCTGTTCTAACAGCACGGTATTCCTTGGCTAAATTTTGGTCTCTTGAATGGAGACCATCGGTAAGTAGTTCAGAAATGATCGTAGCGTGTTTGTGGCATTTGGTACCTCATGTGTGCTGGCAGTTGAGTGGCATCGCACCAACCCATGACAGTTAGACTCTTCGCAAAACCACGTTGTGCTTTTTTTATCCGACAATGACAAAATTTAATTTTTTTTTGCTGTAGTCCGCACATCCGCGATACGGAATCATAGGCGGACGAACCTTACTCGTTGCAGAACATACTTTTTCACAGCTTAAGGGGATGAACCGGCAACAAAGCATTTTAAAAATCGATTTTGAGTGAAATATGGAAACTTACGGCACATCCCCCTGATCCATTCGTTGTCTCACTTCTTGCCAGGAGGTTCATCTCCGCATTGTAATAATTCTTCAAGGTCTAGCTTCAGCATGGACCCATGTCTGTAGCAGTGGTATTTTTTTTTATTACGACAGGGTTTTGGCCCACAGCGAAGACAAGGCGAAAAGTGACGCCATTTCATTTTTCGTGATAAGTCTAGATGGGAAAGCTTTTCCTTGGAACTAGAGTGTCCTTGGTGTATTTTTATGAAGAATGAGCTTTAGGTACGGACAGTTCATTCAGTGATGTTCGACGTAAACATTGTCAAACCTCGTCGAAGAAAAAGTACCCTTAGTAAATTGAAGGCAAATATCTTAAACACCGAAGTCTAGCAGAAAACTTTAACAGTCAGCCCAGGGATAAAAATTCTGAGGAATCTGTGGAGGGTCTTACAGTTACCTCGCGTGAAATTGTAACCTAACGTCGGGTGGAACGTCGGGTGTAAATTGTAACCTAACCCGCCTCCTGGACTGTCCATATCATCTGCCAGTTGACCTTCACGTCACGATGATGTTGAGTCGTAAAATTCTGCCACATGACTTATTTTGGCGTGACGTCACACTCCGCCGCACCAATGTAGAGTGTGACGCCGTAGCCGAGACCGCCGCCACACTCTGCTATTAGTATTGTGACAGATCAGTATCTGACGCCACTTAGTCAAAAGGCCTCCGGCGTTTTTTAGTGTGTCGGGTGACCTTCCACGCGCACTGTGTTTTCTTGACTTCCCACGAACCCCTGATGTTTTTTTTTTAAACCACCAAACGCTCGCTTGACTGATTTCCGTTTTTGTCTAGCACGGATACAATTTCTGCATATGTGTGGGGTATTGCTTTGTGAGCGATGTAGCTTGCAAGTGTCCGGACAGCGGCAGTTCGCTGTCCGATTACAGAAGTCGTTCATTTCTGCATATCATGCCCGCTTACTCACCAATACCGGCGTCAATTTGTAACATCTGAATGGTCGCTAGAACGAAAAACAAATCGCCGTCAGCGGTGTCTGACGTCATAGATTTTAGGAAACACCAGCTCGCCCTCAACTAATATCTGAAGAGGCTTTGAAATCTGCACGAGGGTTTGGTAGTCGGTTTTGCACTAGGAGTTGACTTTAGTGGCTCATGTGGTTTTACTAATATATTTATTCAGGTCTTGTCGTTGTGTGTTTGTGTTGATTGTTCGTGACGTGGTATGTTCGTTAGTGCACGCCTTTAATAAAGCCATAAAGAGCTCAAAGCCATTTGTCTACCTTGTACAGTCGCGTGGAGATACAGTCATTTGATAAAGAAATAAGTTGTATAATACCACAAACGTCCCAAAAGACCAAAGGTCCAAATGAATGCGAAGGTGCTCAAAATCCTCTCAGTTTTTTCGACCTGATCGATAAGTTTTCTCTCAGCAGGATCCTGACGTCTTCCCGTGATGCATCAATGCCACTGATGTGATTTCATCGACACCAATATCCGAAGATCGCAAGCGGCTTTTGACGTCTTCGGCCGCAGGGGTTACGTTACGGTTCAGAAGTGCCTTTCGTTACGGTTCAGAAGTGCGTTACGCGACAGTTCAGCCCTGAGATGCGAACGAGTCGTAAAATCGTTCCTCTCCTCTCATGCCATGGAGCCTGGGATCACCCTCGTGACCGGTACCCCGCCCTCGCTCCTCCTGAATGCCATTTGAATGTGGTGAGGTGTGGTGGGAAAATAGTATGCTGCAGCGACACGTTTGAAATCACCCAGACGGAAAGCTGGGCCATTATGTCCTAGTTCGTTGTCTCGGGTCTGCCGTTATCTTGTCATTTCTCCATCTATGCAGGGTGTATGCATTAAGCATCGAACAAACTTTTAGAAAATTGTCATTTAACTTCACACAGCTCCCCGACATGTAGCCTTGATGTGATAAAACGGTTCGTCGCATGCCAAATTAGTGAAAAAGGTACCCAAGTTAAATTACTTGGCTGCGACGGTTTGGTAATTAAACGAAAACAAAAACAGAGAGTGGTCAAATTGCCTGAGCATGGATAACTAGTGCAACTCATCAATGGCCTTATTTAAGGCTCTCCATTCAAGGCTCTAGAGCTATTCACATTTAAGTTGTTCTGTGTCACAGCTATAGTTGTGTATTGTAGATATGATTTGCATTACTTGCATTTATAAGCATTTACGTCATTAAAATCAAAGAAGATCACACATAATCAAGATGAAGCAATGTGCCTTAGGACTTTTTTGGCCTATTTTAGATTCTACAGGACACTTTTTCGGTTTAAGATGTTGGCAAAAGCTGCAAGAAAGCTTCTCATCAACACGTGGTCTTACCACGTGCCGAGTTCAGCGGCCATCGGGGTCGCGCCCTGGTAATTGTATTTCTGTATGTTACCGATAGGTGGCACGGTTGGTGGCAAGTGCATTGCGCACAATGCGCCATACACCACACCAGAATGTTAGTGATCGTGGCGCTGATGCATCCTTCCACACGCGATTGCTGTGCGTTGCCGCCATATTCCTACGATTATTTACATATGTTGTTCTGTATACAAGTTGTTTTTGTATGATAAGGTCCCAGTGATGTCAAGCGATGTCATACTGACAATATTGACATGACTAAGAAAGGCTGCAGCTCTGTGTCTATACCATTTGTTGGCAACGACTATGAGCACGGCTTACAATGTACCAAAGGGAAATAGTTTAGACGTCATGAGAGGGGTGAAAATGAATAGTTGCCTGGCGGGCGCCTCTTGATGCGGCACAGCTATCGTTATATGCGGGCTTAAACTGGGTTTCTAGGCTGCCTAAAAAGGAAGGAGCAATATATTGGGTTCCGAATTGGGCACTGATTGAGGTGAAGACGACATCACCGGTGCTGAACAATAGGTCGTGGGGCGTGTTTGAAGAAGGATGTACCGGAGTCACGGAGAGATGGGATCACAGAGCTGTTTGAGGAAACCAAATACCGATCATATTCTTGTTAGGCTAAGCAGAACTAAAAAATGACAACAAAAGCAGCAACAAACAGTGTTTTACGGCTGCAGCCCAACTTAATAAGACTGTAACATGCTTTGACCAACCGAAGACGCTAGAAATTCTCGACTCAGGCTTAATAATTTCTTGGCGTTTGAACAATGAGATGCCATGTGTTTTCACCAACAAGACACAAAACAGCTATCGCCGATCCTAGCCGTCTCTATTACCCTTTGCGTACAGAAGCGCAACAGTTTGTTTGCTGATTTGGACGCACCGAAGGCGCGAAATTGTTAGTTTTGTTAAACTCATGCGTTTTCCCCAATCTGGACCAAAACATAAAGATGTTTTTCAATTACATGCAAATAAAGCTGCACATAAGCTGGTAACTGAACATTAGCATGAGGCCCTCAACCCTTTTGAGCAGCAATTTTTTAAAGATTTGGTCCGAACCTTTTGAATGGATGGATTCATGGGATCACAGCCCACACTAAGCAGTGTTCCTTGTGTAAGCCCTGACCCCTATCGTCCGATCGCGCAATTCCAGGCAACCGCAGAATTTAATAGCGGAAGTTTAACGTGTCACAGTGCTCCGCACGGTCCATCCTGCCATCTGACGTCAACTGACCTTCAGCGTTACCGCTGGCACCGGCCGCAGGCCATGGCTATCAAGGGCAATGTCACCCTGTCATTATACCTGTCAACGTATCTGTCAACTTCAAAACGCGCAGAATGCGTTAATGCTTTGCCTATCACGTGATTAGCAGGGGCTCCGTTTTAAACTATATAATTAAATCCAAGTTATTCAAAATAGAATTTGATTATCGGTGTTCATCCGAGGTTTTTCTAGGGGGCTCATAGCAAAAGCTGTACCTGCCTGCACTCAGATTTTTTGGTCGATCCAGGACCCCAGCCTTTCGGCACCTTTTCACGCAGCCGGGGACTCCTTACCAGGGTCATATCTTAGACTGAACCGCCTTTGAAAGCAAATGAGGTGCTCTACGGCAACCAGGTGACCTTTGAGGGGAAATAGGCCCTGTGCAGCAAAAAGGACCACAAGTATACGGAGGGGCATGCGGATTTAAAGAGCTTTGGGCTCCCAATGAACTCCCGAGGAGACCATAGGCCCTCAGAACTCAGAGATCATCTCAGCAATCAGAGGGCTCTTGAGCGGTCCGAGGGCGGTCCTTCAGCAGCCTGACAAGCCCCTCAGCACTTATCGTCCCCCGTAAAAAAGGGGTGCACAAGGGTCGTTTGATGTTCTGGCGAGCACGTGCGTCGCTGAGCGGCTAGTGGACTATCAGGAACAAAACGCACACTTCGATAGCCAGAAGGGCCCACAAGCGATGACAAGTTCAAGGGATCACATGGTCTGGGCGACCAGTTGAGCCACTAAGCTATCAGAGAGGGACCCTACCCACAACAGACTCGTTAGTAGCTACAGGTGCCCCTCAGCGGCCTGAAGGGCACTGATCGGTTCGAACTGCTGGTGAGCTACCACAATGGCCCTGATTACACAGAAGGTTGAGAGGTCAGTGCGGTCCATGAATGGGTGTTGCCATTGGGGCCTTATATCGTGAGCTTCCTGTATGCTAAATGGCGTCACCCGCTCTTCACCCTGGCAGAAAGTGAGGACACAGAGGAGAATCGAGCCCTGTACCTCTGGTTTCGCCGGGTCTCAGCTGGCACACTAAAACGCTCCAAGAACGCCTGCGTGGCTCTGGGGTTATTGTGTGTGCTGAAGGGATTTTTGAATGGCACACGGGTCCTAAGTAGCCGCTTTAGGGAAGTCCCTAAAGCAGCTCGAGAGCACACGGTGGCCAGCTAAGGCTCACGTATCCGTAACAGGGGCTTCCGGTGGGCCAAAGGTCAAATTGCAACATAAAGCTTATTACAACATGCGAGATCTCGTTGGGTACAATCTACGTTTTATATGAGGCTCTACCCTCCTTAGTTTGGAAATGACACGGGGTTTCATCCCCCCACTCTGTCCACGTAATGAAAAACGGTGAATCAGGGTAAGGTTGACACTTTTGGCTGCCATCCTTTGTATCCATTTTACGCAAGCTGTTGTAAAAATTCGCATTTCAGATGATGGAAACAAAGGAACTGGCACACCATAATGACACTTTTGATTACCAGCATGCGTACACCGGTACCAATGCGAGCAGCAAGCCCATATAACACTTTTCACACTGGGTAGCAAACAAAGGCAAGCACACCTGTAATACTTGCAATGCATGATGCAGGGGAGCCCATTCAAATTATGTGTGTGGGGGGGGGGAGGGGCTCTGCCCCATCCCAATGTTATTTGGGCCACCTCAAGGTCGATTTGAGCCCCTTCAATGGTGGTCTCTTCCTCCCCGTAATACTTCTAGCTGGAATATTGCAAATTTGAGGAGGAATAACTATGAGGCAAAGCCTATCATCTCTGATTTTTCCGTACACGCCATGATCATAATGTCGCTCAGATACAGGTATGTTTAATAAAATGCAAAATATTTAAGAATAGAAACTACCTGCAATCGGAACGGAGCAGACTACATCCGTTGACAAGCACAGTTAGGGGGCCGGAGATTGTGAGACCAGTGGTTTGCTACTCATCTCCTTCTCTTACGATGTATAAAGATTGACATCCCTGACATGACGCCACAATCAAACCATACTGTTTTCTGCTACCAGAGTGGTCTGCATTTACGTTAGGTCGTTTGCCCTCACAAACTGGACTTGATACCTAAAGTGACCCTGTTCAGAGCTATCAGAAAAAAATGTTCACTTAAGTGCCAGCAAAAACAGTAATGAGATATATTGAATTTGCATGTATGAAAACACCATGTTCATAGATGCAAAGAACTCATGCATATCAATAAGCACTACAGAATGAATCATTTCCAGCCTTTCCCGTTACAGCAGTGTTGCGCCATCAGGAATTATCAAAACTGCTCTAAGAGATAGCTAAATGTCAATTTTTACTGAACTCTTATGGAAATAGGACCCGAATTCCACAAAACCACTTCCGATTTGAAGCAAGCATCTTGATTAACCGGAGATGCTTATGGAATCCTAACCCCGCCCCTCCTCATTGCCTACACTGCCTGCGGCCCGTTACTCGGTATAGGTAGACATAGGCACTCATGTGATAAAAGAGCATCATACATAAATCGTCTTCTTCGTGACAGCATGTGTTGTAGATAGCTATGAAACAGTAGGTGCGTGGTGCAAGTACACTTTTACTTTCGAAGTTTAATCATTACCATAGGTTAAGTCCAAGCACCCCAGAGA